TGTAGTCTTCGCACGGTCGACGTACTGATTTGGTCCCTTTATTTCGTTTCTATTTTCTTTTTTTGAGGGATCGTTTTTATTTCTTTTATTTCTTCATTTAGTTTTCTTTGCTTTCTTCACAGTTTTCTATTTTTCTTTGTTTCGTTCACGATTTTTACTGCTTTTTTCTTCTTTCTTTTTCTTTTTTTCCCTTCTCGGTCTTCACTTTTTTTAATTCTTTTTATTTATTTTTCAGTTTTGTTCGTTTATCTTCGTTTCTTCTCGGTTTCATTCCTTTCTTCTTAATTGTTTTTCTTATATTTTTTGGTTTTCATTGGTTTTATTTATTCGCTTATTTCTTTGTCAGTTGTTCATCAGTTACTTCTTTGTTTAACGCATGTCTACTTTTTTGGGTACACAATGTACATTTTTACTGTACACATGAAACGTTTTGTTGATACACATTGAACATTTTTTAGATATATGATGTAAAAAAATTCTTACATAAATGTTTTGAACACTTTATTGAATATGTGGTCACATTTTTTCAGATACATGGTAAACGTTTTTTAATGGTAATAAACATTTTTTTGCATGCAATGTACATTTTTCGTATACATCAGGAATATTGTTATAGACGTTAATATTTTAAAATACATGAAACATTTTTATTATATATCTAAAACTTTTTTTTATATAGTGAACACATTTTAAATATTTCAGTAACATTTGTTTTCAAATATATGTTTTTCATGTCTAGTTTTCACACGATGCAAATTATTCATATGCATCAGGAACATTTTTATATACACGAGTAACATTTTTCTAAATGCAGAATTAACACTTTTTTACAATACTTGTTGTAGTGTCTACTTTTATACACGTTATACATTTGTCGTAAACATTTGGAATCGATATTTATACGTGTTAAACATTTTTCTAAATAAATGGTTAGCATTTTTAATACATTTTTTGTATACATCAGAATCACATTTTCTATACACATTTAACATTTTTTAAATGTTTGATTAACATATTTCAAAAATTTATGTAAAATAGTTTGTGTGTGCGTGTGTGTGTGTAGTACTTTTAAATATAAAAAAGTAGAAAAGAAAAAATATGTGAAAAGAACAGTGAAAGACAAAAGCGCTTTTGTGGTTTGTGGCCTCCCGCGCACCAGGCCGGCCCAGTCTCGCGCTGGCTTCAAGCAAGGCAGCCTTGTGTCCGAACTTTTGTTCGCCCCATCGTCGCTAGATCCTATTCGGCACCTTAAGGTCAACTCCAACGCGTGACCTCAGACGAACGTCTATTTCATCCATTTTTCGTCTGTTTGGGGGTGGCAATGGGGCCATGTCCGCCCAGATTCGTGGATGTGTTGGCCGTGCGTCCAACGCGCGGCCGCATTTCGGTCGCATCTCGTCCATTCACCAGTACAGTAGATAAAATGAAAATGATGCATATGAAATGGTTCAAATCAAACATAGCTCCCAAATAGTCTTTACATCCCAATCAAAATTTGTTTGCATGACAAGAAAACAATATAAAATAGTCTTACAACCCAATCGAAATTTGTTTGCATGGCAAGAAATTAAACTCATAGATCTGCTGGTTGCCAATGTGAGTCCACACGTACTCAACCAAGCCATCCTGGAGCTGGACATGAGTATGCCAATTACGCAACTTCCAATAAAACTCGACAAACTGTTCAAAGGTTGCAGGAGGTGGATGCTCAGGCTCAACATTTTTAGCCTGAAAATCAAACCATTAGTCGTAGATGCTATCATCATGCTCATCCTCCACGATCATGTTGTGCATGATCACACAAGCAGTCATCACCTCTAAAAGCTTCTTCATGCTCCATGTCAATGTAGGGTTACGAACTATACCCCACCGAGACTGAAGGACGCGGAAAGCACGCTCCACATCCTTCCTAGCACTCTCTTACATTTGAGCAAACCTTTGTCTCTTCCCTCCTTGCGGATTGGGTATGGTATTTACAAGAGTTGACCACTCAGGATAGATGTCATCAGCTAAGTAATATCCCTTGTTGTAATGGTGGTTATTGACCTCAAAGTTGACCTCCGGGGAGTGCCCTTCCACAAGCCTTGCAAACACCGGAGACCGCTAAAGAACACTAATATCATTCTAAGAATCAGCCATGCCAAAGAAAGAATGACATATCCATAGATCTTGTGAAACAACAGATTCCAGTATAACAGTGGCACCTTTCACATGCCCCTTGTACTGCCCCTGCCAAGCGAATGGACAGTTCTTCCACTTCCAGTGCATACAATCTATACTGCCAAGCATGCCCGAAAATCCCCTCTCGACATTGATCATCGACAACCTCTCTGTATCAACGACAGTTGGCTCTCTGAGGTACTCCGAGCCGAACACTTCCACCACGGCCTTGCAAAAACTATACAATGAGAGGAGACATGTGGACTCACTCATACGAACATACTCATCCACAGGATCATTAGGAATTCCATATGCAATGCAAGCATGCAGATAGCCGCAATGCATTTCTGGTATGAAGAGAAACCAAACTTGCCTAGGGCATCCTCTTTGCACTCAAAGTATGGGTCATGCACGACCACTCCCTCGTGAAAATAAGATTGAACACATGCCTTCCCATTCGGAATTGGCGACGAAATTGATGTAGCCTAAAGAGTGCACCATCCTGAAAGTAATCGGCATAGAGAAGGGTGTGGTCTTTCTCCCTATTGCGGTCCAAGGCCGGAGCATGCCCGGGGATTGATCCCCTGTAGCGAGGCCGCTTCTTAGTGATGTTTTCATGTACGGCCAACATAGCCGCCAGCTCTTCATCATCCGAGGATGAATCATCCGATGAGCAAATAAAGTTGTGAAAGAAAAATTCATCACTCATCACCACTATCCATTGTACCTTGTGAGCAATCCGTCGAACGCCTTGCGGTCGTGCTGGGGAAGCGGCCGGATAGTGCACGCCCTGCTCCCCTCGTAGGCAGCAAAGCAAGGGTTTGGGGTCGGTGGTGCTGGAGGGCGCCCTGCGTCACCGAACGGCCGACTGGAAGAGGTTGGGGACGACGGGCGACGCCGACAGCCGTAGACTGTCTCCCACCGGCAACAAGGAGAACGCCGACAAAATGCTTTCTGGTAGGCTGGTGCGGAGACAGCTATGGCATGGCGCGGTGGTGGTTGGGATGACCCTGGTGGAAGAGTACGTGGGCGGGGGTGGTGGCGGCGGCGGCAATGTCGGGGCGCGGAGGAAGGTGGCCTAAACGCCGGATTTAGGCAAATCCTCTAACCGGCGCACACCCTCCTCTCCGCCTTAGGCCAGCCCGCTTCACCTTTTTATTATAGTTCAAAAAAATGCGACCAACAAGTTTCGATTTTGGCAAATCCGCTAACCGGCGCACACCCTCCTCTCTGCTTTGGGCCAACCCACTTCACCTTTTTATTCTCTATTCTATTAAAGTTCAAAAGAGATGCGCCCAACAAGTTTCAAAATCGAGATCTCTAGGTAACGTACAGATAGAGGCAACCAACAGACTACAATAAGACTAGTGATGATTTTAGGCATGGCTTTTTTCTTAGTTAAAAACGCAGTGGTTTCTCTCTTTTGTTTTTTTTTCTTATTTATTTTGGCCGGTTTTTCTTCTTCTTTTTTTCTCTTTCTCTTTCCTTTTCCTTTTCTTTTATTTTTTAAAATCGTCTAACTTTTCTTCTAAATCGTGAACTTTTCTTACATTCACAAACTTTTTTCAAATTCGTGATTTTTTACCTTTCTGCTAAATGCGTGAAGATTTTTCTTCAAATTGGTGATTTTTTTATTTAAAATTGATGAACTTTTCTTCAAGATCGATGAACCTTTTTTGAAATCTATGAACTTTTTCATATTTGATGAACTTTTGTTTGGAACCAACGAACTTTTTTTAAGTTTGATGAACTTTTTTTATATTTGATGAACATTGTTTCAAACTCGATGAACTTTCCTCAAATTCGATGTCTTTTTAATTCGATGAACTTTTTTAGATTCGATGACCTTTTCGCAGAATGGATGAACTTTTTTCAAATCCAATGAACTTTTTTGAAAAAGATGGATGAATTCCAAATTTGGTAAACTTTTTTCAAATCGATGAACTTTTTCTTTCAAATCAATGAACTTTTTTGAAACATCAATGAACTGTCTTTTTTAAATTCGTAAACTTTTCTTCGAAATTTGATGAACTCTTTTTCATAAAAAAACAACTTTGCCAAATTGTTTTCAAATAATTAACAAATCTAATAAATAGAGCTGATACATTGGTTCTTAAACTTTTCACGACCCTAGTAGTCAAGTGGCGCTAACCGACTATAGTGGTTAAGAAAACTTTTCTTGTATTGTGGCGCGAGTTCGAGTCCCTCCGCTTGCCCTTTTTTGCGTGGTTTTTTCGCGAGACAGTTTTCTTTCTACTGCGTGTGGTGGGCCGGCCTATGAGGTGCGGCATGTGGGCGCCAGCTACCTGTTCGGGCGCTTAAGGCGCTGAACAAATCATTTCTATGAAACAAACCAAAACTTCAGACTACACGAGACATTTTTCCTTCTACTGTGTGTTTTGGGCCGGCCTATGAGGTGCGGCGCGTGGGCGCCAGCTACCTGTTCGGACGCTTAAGGCGCCGAACAAATCATTTCGATGAAACAAACCAAAACTTCATATTAGTTAAAACCAAAACTTCAGACTAGTAGCACTGGGGCTGGGATTCGCTGACTTTAAGTCAGGTGACTTAGACCCACATGTTAGTGACTGCTAAGTCACCTGACTTAAAAGTCTGCAAATCTGAACCGGTAGCACTGGCATCTGAATAATTGCCATGCCAACCTTCTAAAGAAGACATTGCCAGAATCATATTTCCATGGAGATGGTAGCAAATGACTCGGAAAAACAGACCAAGAAAGTTCAGAGCCATTTGCCATGAGATAAAGTAAATAATTGAATGAATCTGACTTCTGATGTATACAGGGGGTCCGACGCTAACGCTAAGCTGAGATAATAAAATTACACAATGCAACAAATTTTCTTAAGATTGTCAACTGAACTTAGAAGATACATGGCGCTCCCCGGCAGATCCCCTGGGCGGTGCGGCGCGCCACGCAGGGCCATGTGGGGAAACAATCAGCGTCACGGTCAACTATCTGACAAATATGTACCGGGAACAAGACCGCATGGGCATCACAGATGATTTTTGTCAAAAAGGTTTACTGAGCTTGTTGTTGTCTCTCTTGAGTTGTACTTTGAGTTTCTTGCCGCCTAGCTGGAAACCGTTCATCATGGCGATGGCCGACTGCGCGGACACAGGGTTGTCATAGCTTACAAAACCTGCACCAAACGTTATGATAAACAGGTTAACAGATCACGTGAACGATGCGCAAGAGAGCGTGTCTGCTAGTGAGAGATTTTATTACCGAAGCATTTGCTGGAACCAGTTGCTTTGTCAACGAACACCTTGGCACTTATTACTCTCCCAAACCTCTGGAAGGCATCGGAGAGTTCCTGGTCACCAAATTCTTGTGGGATATGGTAGATAAACAGATTGGCTCCAGGAGGTCCTGAAACATGTACATAGGTTTTACTACAATGCAACAGGCTTGATAATAAAAAAGCACGTCAAAAAGGGTGTTGCATAATACGATATTGATTACTGTAGTTGGTAGAATTAATCAGTACACCGACTATCAGAGTTGCCAATCAGTGTTAAATATTGATGCTGGATTCTAGTGGTACAACTTTGGATAGCCTTATATGCATGTTGCTACCAAATGTAAAGATGTTCATTATTGCGAAATATTATAGGATAGTGTTCACCACCAATGCACATGGCATTTGCAGGAAATTGCATGCTAACTAATGGGCACAGCTACTATCAGAAGAGTATGGTATTTCCCCTTGCACAATAAGTAAAGACAAGAACAGAATGTGGCTAACCTTCTGTTTGTGTTTGGCCACCGCCATTGCTACGGGGACTAAATGCGATAGGATTGACATTTGCACTTGGAACTTTAAGGGGATTGTGAGGATTCCCAAAAGGACGATTGTTCGTCGGACCACCAGGGTAGGATCCAGGGTACTGCATACCAGGTACTACTGGATACGGGCTGCCTAAATGCATTGGGTTAAATGATCTAGGACCTGAGTTGGGGGACAGTTCAGGGTTGACTCCTCGTATCGAGTTCCCTTGGTTAACAGGCTGACCCATATTCTGAAAGGGGCCTTGATTTTGCATAGGAGATAAAGGGTACTGCATAAGTCCATAGGTCCCTGGAGGCTGCGCACAAATAAATCACAGTTGTATTGCATATCAGATCAGTGCATGTCAAAAATGTAGATTAGTCAAGACACATATTTCAACCTCTTGAAAAGGTCCACATATAATACTTGGGTATTTAATGTGTCAGTAGCTTTTGCAGGAGTAAATCTGACAAATTATGACAGTTTGAATGAATATTATTTTTCTAATGCATAGATAAAAAAACACCTGTTCTGTTTGCAGCTACAAAACAATCAGGGCCACAACAGATACATAAGTTTTAAGAAATTACATTTGGGATGCAAATACTATAGCAAATGGCATATTCTGGACAACAAAATTATAAAGAACACTATACTGAAAACAAAATAGGGCCAGAACATTTAAGGTATTATACGAAGTTTCCTGTGATATGGTAGTGTGTAGTGCAAACAAGGTTTCGAGAACAGCACAACTCACCTGATAACTAAATCCATTATACTGAGGCATATATCCCATCTGTAAAGCTCCAAATACTGAAGATTGTGGCATTGGGCGTCCATTCGGCATATTAGGTGATTGCAGTTGAGCTTTCTGTGCTTTCCGTGCCTGCCTTTCCTTCTCTGTATCAGCCCATTTGACAACCAACGGCACACTAGAACCCTAAGAAATAGATCAAAACATAAGAAATCCTATACAAAGTACTAACAATCAGATTTGAGAAGATATCCAGATGATTAATATAATGTAACTCCAAGGTAAGAGTAGGCTAAAAAGGCAATAAGTCAGTGCCATATGTGGAATATACTAGCAATAACAACCATCAAGTGATAATTCAAGTCAAGTTCTGCATTATAATTACATACGAAAACATATAATTAAACTATCTGAAAGATTGAGTAAAAGAAAAAGTTCGGCACCAATTGTATGCACCGTCGATCTGGAAACAACTGATTTCAAAACCTAATAGAGAATATTATTTATGACTGCCAGGACGAGTGATCGAACGGTTTGTTGTTTGTAACGGCTGGTAAAGTAAGTGCATAGTTCATTTAGAATCATGATATATATACTATACACGATGTTAACCAGCATAAATGCAATAACAAGTAAAAGTTGCCTTCCTGTTCTAATTCATTTTAGCAAACCTCTATTTTGTGCTTCCCATTTAGATCCTCAATAGCTGCCATTGCTTGCTCCTTCATTTCATATTTAATGAAGGCGCATCCAGCTGCAATAACCAAAGTTAATTAAGAAATATACATTATAGACATTTCAGAGTCGAGCGATGTTTATGCTTCTATTAACAGGAAAGTAACTTCTCCACAATAACTTACCTTTACTTGTTTGCTGTGAACCTCTCAAAATTTGTAAATCCTTGATATTTCCATATTTGGAAAACAAATCAGTCAATTCAGTATCTGCTACATTTTTTGGAAGCATTCCAATGAAAAGCTTGTGTTCTGAAAGTCATAGCAAATGCAAATGTGAATGTCCTGTTCACTGTCACCAGAAAATAGCGAGAAAATATATTGAAACAAAGACTCTGTAGTAAACGACTGCAAACTGACAACCATACCCAGCCTCTCCAACTCTCCATCAGCATATTTTACTTGCAAAGGACTCGCCGCCTGTATTAAGCAGAGAAAGAAAATGTCATCAGCCTGTCAAGGGAAGCAGCAACAGACCTGCAAAAACTGTACTTTTGGGAGTCTTCAAGAGAAGGCCTGTCAACTATACCCAAATAAGGCATCACAAGAGTAGGAATAACACTAAAACAAAATACTAGCCATGTGCATGTGTCTGGCTGGCTCCACAAGTCAGTGATTACCTACTACTATAAACTGAAGCATTTCTGTTTTTGTCCACATTAAAATAGGGGTCCTTAACTGCCAGGACAGCAATAACAACGCATACGATGATGCCACCATGGTATGCGTCGTATCACGTCTGGTGAACTTTTTCGTTTGATTAGACAATTATGCCACATTACATCATGTTTCAATAATACCCATCTCAGTGGGTGATTAGATACTCAGCGTCTCAATCTCTTTCCTCGTCACTTTATGTGCTTATTTCATGAAAACATCTCAAGAATGAAAGACCATCGACTGCAAGTTAGGTCTAGTGCAATGATGAAGATCCTTATGATTCTGAAGAAAGGAAGTCTGGCCCACCACAACAAATGTACATTATCTGCAAATCTTTTTGCACCAAAGCATGCAAGACATCGACCAAAAGGAACTTTAGTTGCAACTCAAGCTACTTGAGGGCAAAGCATGCACTTTCATGAGATTTTGCATTTAGTCCAAGAGAACCAACTGTTTCATCTACATAAACATTTTGGCTGTGTTTGATAGGAGCCAGGTCACAACTAGCCACATTTGGGAGTTAGGTTTGGCGGGACCTCAGGTAGGTGTGACACAAAACTGAAGCTACAATCAGTTCATAACAAAAGGGCAAGCGTAGTGGCTAAATTGTTGAGCAAAGTTTTGTTAGGTGTGTCACAGAGGGACAGGCCTAGCAGCTGTCAGGTTGGCAGCCACAACTCAAAATTTACCATGGTTCAAATTACTTACTGTCAAACATGACACGCCCACTATTTTACAGCATCATGTGGTAACTCCAGCAGCCTGGCTCTTGCCAAAGGTTAACTGTAACCTTATTTCTCCTCTAATCAAATACTACATCTTTTCTCCGGTTGGCCCAAATGTTTTGACAATTCCAAAGCTGACAGATGATACACATGTTTTTTCTCTCTTAATACGTGATTATGCTTACTTATGAAGATATACAACTTATAACTACAACCTTAGCTAACTATCACACTGCATCAACATCCCACAGGTTACAGTTCATCAACGTCCCACAGGTTACGGTTCATCAACATCCCACAGGTTACAATTGGCTAATTAGCAATGAAAGGGAACCTCCTTCACTGTTACTATACTGTCCTCAAGAGTAAACATCCATGAAGGTTACAAGCATGATTATTTGTACTGCATTGTCTAGCAAGAATGCTCTAGCATGCATACGTAAGCGCAATATAAGAAAAAGGAAAAAAAGTCGCTGGAGTTACGAAAAATAAATCAACCCTGGGAAGGGGATGAATTTCACAGGGAACCACCAGGCCAATTATGACTACATCAGAAATAAAGCCTGACAGCCAATGGCACCGCCAATTCTGGAAACATGAATTTCAGGTTTCAACTGTTCAAGTCCTAAAATAGTTTGCGCGACCCAATGGCAGACTAAAAACGGTTATCCTCATAAAATCTGATGGAACCCACAGGTGTTCAATGCAAACAGTTGTAAATTTCAGAATACCCATAAAGTGACTATTATCAATTTTCCCAGAGTGCCCCACAAAGATTTTTAGAGTACACTGACAGCTGAAGACAGCTCCCAGTGCATCCCTGCCAACCAAATCATGGAACACTCATGAACCACATCATATTCGCCACCCGGAAAGAGCTAACGAATCGTACTGAATTTGTAACAATTCCACCTCGGCAGACGGCGTAAAAGCACACTGATAGGCAAAGATGGGAATGCTCACATACCCCCGGGAGCGTGTGCTTGTTGTGATACGCATTCACGGCCTTGTCGGCCTCGTCCCTCGAGGGGCATATGAGGAAGCAGCACCCTGCATCAAAAGGTCAGATTATGAGGAAGAAGGATGTAAATGAAGCATCAAGCAGCAGAGTAACACTGCTGTAGCAGGCTGCAGTGCTGAAGAAACAAGCGCAAATCTGGCTTGTCAACGTCTGGGGTACCACTACCAGCAAACAACTTCCCTGAAAAGCATGGGAAGGTTCCTAAACTTTGGGCATCCGCTCCACTAACCACGTGTAGCAGGACAAAACTTACTTATGACACTGATGATATATCGCACTTAATTTGGAGCTTGAAAACATAGCTCCAATCTACAAAATACCCCCCCAAAAACCACACAAATGTGGCACATTTTTAGCTGCATTGCTTCCAATCCAAACAGGGCCAAGCCACAAAAAAAGTCCCTCTAGAGAAAAGAAAAGAAAAAAAACAGAACTTCCGAAAATATTTAACACCGTGCCTAAAATTCCAGCGGCACTCGAGCAAATCTAGCAAGCTAAAGGCGACTCCGGCCCGGCAGAGCTCAGATTAGAGCTCGAGACCGCAGTGCCCGGGGGAGTGGACGCGAGATCTCCCACGAGCGCGGCAGAGGGAACCCAAAAAGGCCACAAATTCGAGGACCTCCGTCCCTCCGGCGGCAGGCATTGCGGCGGGGAGCCGCCGCAAATCACGGGACGGACGAGGAACCGCCCCGAGAAAAAGATTCGAAAACTTTTGGCGCGAGGGAACAGCGGGGAGCGGGAAAGAGAGCCCGAATTCCGCCCGGCGGCATTGCGGCGGCCGGGGCGCCAGATCCGGCGGGGCGGTGGGATCCGCGGCGCACGCACCTCGGGAGGCCTTGGTGGCCTTGTCCTTGATGACGGTGACCTCGTCGACGAGGGCGACGTCCTTGAACATGGCGGCCAGCTCCGCCTCCGTCATGTGCTTGGGCACCTGCCCCACGAACAGCTTCACGCTCTGCTCCTCCCGCTCCTGCTCCGCCTCTCCCGCTCCACCCGCGACACCTCCCACCGCTGCCGCCGCCTTCTCGCCGTCCTCCGCCATTGGCCGCCCGCCGGGAGCAACCGCCGCCGCTCCGCTCGCTCCGGCCGCCTGGCTGGCTCGACTCAACTGGCGTCGCCGGGGCTAGCAAGAAGCGTATTTTGTTGGTTTGTTTTTCTGGGGCGGGGGCCGGGGCCCGGGGTGGTGGTGGTGGAGGTGATGGAGGGAGGGAGGGAGGGAGGAGTTGGCGTCCGGCGCAATTAATAATTGGCAATGGCAATGGATATGCACGTAGTCTCTCGTTCGTTGCAGTTGTAGGCAGCGCCAGTGTGAGTATGATATTGATGCGAGTGGGGAGAGGAGAGAGCAGTTGGGTTTCTGTCCTTGTGACCTCCTTTTCTTTTGTTTTGCTATATATACAACGGTTTTCTTGCACCTTCCTCCTCTTTCCCTCTTGCATTCCAAAATTTGTTGGGAGAAGGTTCAAAAGATTTGTTGGGGAAATTAATTTGTTTTCTTTCCATTTCCATTTTAGTATTTGTGAGTGTGTGAAGAGAGCACCCGGCTCGGCATTGAAATAGATCTAGAAACTGTGGCGTGCCCCCGAGAGAAACGGGAAACTGTGAGAAGGACCTCGGGGTCCTTGGTCACGTGCGCTTTGACTAATCAGGCCGATGGCGCGCCGCTCTGGTGCTGTGCTGAGGCCGGCCAAACCTTGTATCTAGCGGCCGGGAAGTCGTCGAGGTTGCGTTTTCGGAAAGGCCCAGAGGGGAAGGCGTCATTTTGACAGCTAGTGCGGCAGAGGAACACGTATGTTGGATTGTTTTTGTGTGGCGGTTTTTATTATGACATTATCGTTGATCCCCAGCCGTTTTGAAATTTTCACAATCCTTGGTTGGGGATCCTTGGTCACATGCGATTTGACGAGCCGATGACATGCCTCTTTGGTGCTGAAATCGGCCAAACCTTGTATCTAGCGATTAGGAAGTCGACAAGGTTACGGCCCGGAACACCCCAAAGAAGAAGGCATCACCATGACAATTGGTGTGGTAGAGGAATACATATGGTGGATTGTTTTTATGTGATGGCTTTTATTGTGACATTGCCATTAATCCCCAGCCGTTTTGAATTTTTCATCGCCTAGGACTGTAAGCCTGAAATTCGATCATAGAAAATTACAGCCATGACCCCGAGTATATCTGGGATGAGCTAGACGTGCGCCGCGCAAACTGGACAAAACTTGTCTCTACCGGCTAGAAAGTCGTTGAAGTTTCAGTCCAAAACACACCAAAAAAGAAGACGTCGCCACGATGTTTGATCTGGTAGATAAAGACATATATCGGATTGCTTTTAATGTGATGATTTTTACAGTAACAGTCTTGTTAATCCACCCCCTACTGCTTTGAAAATTTCATAAGCCTAAAATGTTGCTACATTCCCTTAATAAAGTTATATGTCAAGCGAAGACATACACATAAATCGTCTCATCTTGGTCCAGAAGTTTGGTAAGATGCCTGAGATTTTGGTGAGCACATTTTGAAAAATAATTAGATTTTATGATTTTCTATATATTTTAACATTTTGATAAGAGTTACAGATGGCACTACTTTTGCTTGTTATGTGATAATATCTTGTACTTAGGATTATGTGATAGCTTGTTATGTCCTTATCACAGGAGAAGATAACGATCAACTCCGTGGTGACAATAGAAAAACTTATGTGGTGACAAAGTTAGGTTTGGATGACTAGTTATGCGTGCTGGACTTGACTAACACAGGATAGTGCAGATCAAATCAACCTACGAACAGTGGATTTTCTTTTAGGTTTCCACCCTTTGCATGGCATAGAGTAATGATGCATTTCTCATTTCCGTGCTAGTCATAGACCGTAATACTCATTCTGAGGTAATTACCATTTTTGTGAAGCTATATAGGTAATTACTTTGGTTTCTAAACCAGTTATTAATGTTTTAACAAAGAAAAAAGATAATTGCCCAAATAATTATGAAACATCAAGCTAAAACCGATACAACTCACTCTCCA